TGAACGCCTTAATGCACTCTCTATGCGCAGTCTATGTGGTGCTGCCAATGTGGGCCAACCCATGTGGCGCATGTGAATGCATCAGCAACCTGGCACTGGCCATAGGGTACAAGGACGAGAACGAGACATCGCAACACATAAGGCCTTAAAGAGCTCCCGCCATGAAACCGCACCTATACAGCACCGGGGCAACAACCAGCACTCACATCACTCAAGGCACCATAGGGCGGCAGCAAGGGCACCAGGAAAAGAGCAAGCAATCGCAACTTTTCTGATCGGCTGCGCCTTGGATCCAAATTGCGATCAACCTACGGAAGCAATCGCAACACTCAAGGTATCACCTTACCCTGGCCAAGGACCCAACTGCATGCAGTTGTGGGTAACATCGTTGTATGCACCGCATTCGATGGAGCTCCCTATGTGGTCACGAGGCGTGTGAGGGGTGTGCCAAAATGGGTGCCGTGGGCGCGTGCGAGCGCTGGCATTTGGGCCTTCGATGGGGCCACGAAGCGTGTGAGGGGTGTGCCAAAGTGAGGGGGCGACGGGTGGAGAGGAGGCGGGGGAGGAAGAGGAGAGGAGGATGAGGAGAGGAGAGGAGGAGACGCCCGGATCTCTCTTCAAAACGAAGACCCAACTCAACACAATGTGGTTGGTAAATGGGCCACAATACGTGTAACATTACCCGTGGAGCACCAGGGCGAGAACGCGAAACCGCAACACTTCCAGGCAGGGTACCAGGGCAAGGACGAGCACTCGCGACCCTCAAGGCATAAAATAAGGCGCCAGCCCCAGAGCACCACCCGTAGAGCACCACGGCAAGAGCGAGAAATCGCACCCCCCGAGGCATAAGCGGGCGCCACCCAGACAGCGCCAGGAGAAGAATGAACACTTGCGATACTCAACCTATCGTAGGGCCCCCGCCGTTGAGCACTCCCCGTTACGGTGGGCGGACAAAAAGTGTCCACACCTGTCGCACCAAGATGACTCGTCATGGCATCGCGTCGATCGAATACGTATGTAGAGCCCCCTTCCTCCCAACTCAAAGTTGACGGGTTTGGGCGGCAGGCCGCGGTCCAGGGACAAAATGTGGACACTTCAACTTTGGGTTCAGGGGGGAGGGGTGCGAGGCAATTGCGTCATGCAGGTGTGGTTGTTATCATGCCACAATGTCTTGCCACCCTGGGTGTGCACACTTTTTGTCCGGGCACCGTAGGGCGACGAGGACATGAAAGAGACATCGCAACATCCGTCCTGCAATCGGGGAATTGACTGGCCCAGCGGGCAGAAAGCGCGCTAGAATCACCAATCAGAGGCTCAGAATATGCTGAGGACATTTTGCTTGGCGCGTCGCTCCGCCTGTTCTGGCCCACCATGCTTCGGCGCGACGCGCTGACCACGTCCCCATTTTCAAGCGTGAACGTCCCGAGCCCCTCCCAGCCTCCCGCCTCGCGGAGCGGATCGACACGCTATCAGCTCACAGGGCATGCCGTGTCGCCTGGGCCGTCGCCGAGACACGCTAAGGAAACGGCCCTGAGCGTATTCGCGTATATCAAGCTCAGGTGCGCGAGGCGGCCCCCCTTGGACTCCCCCGAGAGAAAGGGCCCCGCTCAGAAAGTCCTGGCAAGTCCCGGTCTGAGATGCAGAGGAGGAGGAGGAGGAGGAGGAGGAGGAGGAGGAGGAGGAGGAGGAAAAGCGGGAACTCCCAGGCGCTGGCTTCAGGACCCCGAGTGAAGCCCCAGGAGCAGCCCACGGGAGCTCCAAGGGCCGCCAGCAGGCTCCCAAGAGCCCCCCAGGAGCCCCTAAGAGGCCCCAATGTAGGCCTCCAAGAAGCCTCCCAGGAGGCCCCCAGAGAGGCCCGAGGAAGCACTCAGGATGCCCCCAACACGCCTCCATGCGGCTCCCAAGAGACATCCCCAGAGAACGCGAAAAACACCCAACAAGCCTATATTGCCCACGACCCAGGCACAATGGCGGGATGCACTGCCGCCAGCGAGGTTCACGCGACTGCTCAGGGCAAACACCGCCACCCAGTATCTTTCCAGCCCCCGCGAGCACGCAAGCAAGTGCCAGCGATGATATAGTATGGGCCAGCGGATCCTTTGGAGGGGGAACATAAGAGCAGACATCTAAGCGATAGGCTCCTCAAGCGGGCATAAGAGATGCGACGCAAAACAGACGGGAGAGGCGGAAATGCGGACAAGTCAAACATAGTAAAGCATTACGAAGCAAAGGCTCGTAAACTGGGAGACACGCGCCCTGCTTGTTGGGAAAATTCAATCATACCAGCACCAAGACCATGCATCACAATTGTAATCTAAGCGGTCGAAGCTGGGATAGGGCAGAGCGACCAACAAAGTATCACCAACATTCGCGGAATTAAAGAAGCGATCCACCGCCCCACCAGGTGCGGATCCCCGCCGTCTGGTCTGAAAGGACTGTTGCCCCTCAATCCTCTCACCTAAGAACTACTCGCACCTGGACCCTTCCAAACAGCCTTCGAAATCCCTCCTGGGGTCCTCCCCGCGGCCTGTTCATTCGGCTGGCTCGGGGCTCTGGGCTGCGGACTGGGCGTCCGCTGGCCGCCATTCTGACCTCAACTCACGCACGCCTTCGCGCAAGAGACCTCTGGACGCCTCCCGGCGCCGCTTGTGGCCGCTCAGGAAGCCCTCGTTGGCAGTCTTTGGAGCCTCGTGGAGCCCTCTTGGGCTCATTTGGCCCGTCCTGGGGCTCTCTGGGGCCTGCTCGGACCCTCCCGAAGTCCTCTTCGAGTCATGTTGAGCCGAAGACCGCAAGGTGCTAAATACCTCCAACAACCATTTGGATGTTTACACATTTGGCCGTCTCTTCGCGCCACTTGTAGCTCTTGGAGCCTCTTGTGAAACTTTGTTTCTGCTTTGGAGCGAGAGGGAGAGGCGCAGTGGAGGCTGGCATACCCGAGGCTTCGACGGTTTATAACGAATGCCTCCCTTTCCTCCGCTGCGAGGCGCCGTGCTCGCAGAAGGTCGAACCCTGGGGACCAGGGAGGAGGAGGAGGAGGAGGAGGAGGATGAGGAGGAGGAGGAGGAGGAGGAGGAGGAGGAGGGGAGTGCATCTTCCCTGGCCCCAGCGGTCTCACAGGAAAGAAGATCCCCCCACACATCTCTGAGCATCCAACGTGTAGCAAAGACACGATGTGCCATGGATGTCATATCTGCGCGCACGCGTCACCAAATAAGCGCTGTGCGAACCAAGGTCCAGATCGTGCCAATAGCCTCAGGGGGGCGACTGTCCTGCGGGCACTGACACCCAGTTTACTTCAGCGATGCTGAACCAGCGCAGCAATGACAAACGAATGAAGGCCCAGCGGTCCTTGACGTAAAAAGGCACCACGATCAATCGTATTCCAGCGGCTGCACACAAGGATGCCTTTCGTAGGTCACGTAAACACTGTTGATCGAATGCGTCGCTGTTCTTGCGAAGATTCCAGAACGACTGCGGGTCATAATGCTGCTCGCCGTTGTATTCAAAAGCAATGCTTAGCTCCTGGCAGTAACCGTCAAGTTGCAATGGAACGCCGCGCAGCCCTTTGAGAAACGATGGCCGACAAGTTGGGAACGAGTGTCCAGCAAATATTGCTTCTAAGATGATCCTGACCTCACGCTCACTCCTTCCACTCTTGCACACGGGGCACCACGAACCAGCATATACTGTTTTCAGCGACGTGTTCCACTCATGTCCTTCCGAACACCTCCATCGCAGATGGCCTCTGTTATTTGTATAGGAGGAAGACAAACACGCCCCTCCTCTTCGAACAGCTTCTGCGTTAGCGTCTTCGATTGATAAACGTCTCTGCGCTACATTACATTTGCGGCACCAAGAACCGCTGAGAACGCTGTACAATCGGGAATGCCATTGGTGCCCTTCCCCGCACTGCCATAATACAGAATATGTACTTCGGCACGCGAAGCCCAAACACTGGCCACCGCGAGACGTTGCAACACGTGTTGCGAGCTGGAGAGACACATTCTTGGAAGCTAGAGCACAAGAAGGGCACCATGCCCCTTGCCATCTGACGCGGTCCATCCGCATCCAAAACGTGTGACCAGCTTCACATTGCCACCGTAACGCGGACTTGGAATTCTTGTACTGAGTAGAGAGACACAACCCTCCCCTTGCCGCTGCCACCCCAATCGCATCATCAAGGGTAAGTCGAGCGTTTCTTGCGCAGTGCGGGCACCAAGAGCTTCGATAGCGAATGGAATGCAACGCCGCACTCCATTGATGACCTTCCGAACACTGCCACCTCAAAGGTACCATGCAATTCTGGTAGGATGTGGACAGGCACTGACCACCACGAGACACTGCGGCCTGCCTCGCTTCGAGGAGGCCAAGTTTGGGACGACCTGCCCGGAGCAACGCAGCTACTTCCTGCATGTGAAGTACGAGAGCCCACCATATATACTGCGCCGACGACCTGCCAAACTGATGTGACGTTCTGTGGCAGGATGCCGGAGCACGAAGACCAACGAGGACAAGCCCCCCAAACCAGATTTTCGCTGACAGAGCGGGCTGGGCCAAATCGGCTTGGGCCACAGTGGCTACGGAAGAGCCTCTTGTGACACTCTTGGGGCCTCTCTGGCCTCGTTGGAAAATCTCCAAGGCCTCTCGGAACTCTCGGGCCGTCGTCCTGAAGTCCTCTCGGTCCCATCTTCGGCCGCCTGGTCGCCTTTTTGGCGTCCCCTTGAGCCGTCTTGGGTGCGCCCAGGAAGTCCCTGGAGGCCTTTCGGAGGCCCAAAAACAACGGGCGGAGCCTCCGCTTTACCTCTCCGTATCCCTCTTCGGCTTCGTCCACCGTTTCGACACATTTCGGTACCTTGTAGGACCGTTTTCGGAGCCTCTGGGGGCTTTCTTGGGGCCCTCTCGGGCAATCTTTGGCGTTTTGGGGGGCCCTCTGGGGTTGTCTTGAACGCCCCCCCTCGTCCTGTGGGATAATTTCAGTTGCTCCCCTCTTCCTCTATTACTAAGCCTCCCAGTCTCCACGTTCCCGAAAACTTGGGGCGGCGGTGTCTGCCCCCTCAGGGGCGTTGAATTGAATTCGGCATGCCCCCTGCGGGCACCAGCCGTTGACCCAAGTGAACCTGATCTTTTAGAGGTCCGCGCGGATTTCTCGGGTCGGCGATGGACCCCGCGGAGCGCGCTGGACGTGGCGCCAGGGGTGCGAGGTGCGGGGAGGGGGGTTCAGCGTCGATCCAAAAGATCTGCACGGACCTCCGAACGCCTTGTTTCTGTCATTAATTGGTCCTCCAAGCGCTCGGTTCCTCTTCCCTCCTCCGTTCTGGGTCACCCAACTTCCCCCCCTGGAGAAGGGCAGCCGCTCTGGCCCAGACCGCGACGCGAGAAGCGCGATTCTCTTCGCGCCCCCGCGGGTGACCTAGTACCTAGTCCCTCCCTCCCACCCGCCCCTCCTCCCTCTCCCTTTTTCCTCTCTCCTACCTCTCGTCCCTCTCCTCCCTCTCTCTTCTTTCTTCTCTCCTCCCTCTCCTCCCTCTCCACCTCCTCCCTCCCTCCCTCTCCTCCCTCCCACCCCCCCTCCTCCCTCTCCCTTCTTCGCCCCTCCTCCCCTGAGCACGGGCGAGGCTCGACGAGGCCTCCCTGTCCGCGCCCAGCCCCGTGAGGCCCTGGGAGGGCAGTCCTGCCACTGAGCGATGAGGTCGTGCAGCGCACCGGCGTCCTCGATGCCGCCCAGCAGCAGCCTATGTGGGAAGGGGACGGACGGAAGAGGTGGCAAAGAAGCTCCGTGCAGGCGCATAGAAACAGGCGTACCGCAAATCGCGCACCAGTGGGATGATGATGATGATGATGATGATGATGATGATGATGATGATGATGATGATGATGATGATGATGATGATGATGATGCTGATGCTGATGATGATGATGATGATGATGATGATGGGGATGAGGATGATGAGGATGAGGATGATGATGTTGATGATGCTGATGATGAGGATGAGGATGAGGATGAGGATGATGAGGATGAGGATGAGGATGAGGATGAAGATGATAATGATAATGATGATGGTGATGATGATGATGATGATGATGATGGTGGTGATGATGATGATGGTGGTGATGATGATGATGATGATGATGGTGATGATGATGATGACGATGATGATGATGATGATGATGATGATGATGATGATGATGATGATGATGGTGACGATGGTGACGATGAGGATGAGGATGAGGATGATGATGAGGAGGAGAAGGAGGAGGCCGCAAGGGGATGACGAGGTTGAGGAGGGGCGAGGGAGGGAGAGGATGACGAGGTCAAGGAGAGGGCCCAATCTTTCGATCCCCCGGCAGATTTCTTCTGCAACGGACCTCCTGCGCTGGCACCATCCCCAGCTCTCTCGGGATGCACTCCCTGATTCCATCGCCAATCTCGGGCACAACTGTCAGGCGTCACTGCCAAAATGTGTGAGCGATGGATATTAAAGGAGGAGGGGTGCAATGGAAAAGAAAGGTGATGATCATGAGACGATCCCTCTCCTCCTCCTCCTCCTCCTCCTCCTCCTCCTCCTCCTCTTCCTCCCTCGTTTGGCCTTGCTCTGCCTTGCCCTTCTCCTCTGTCTCCTCCTCAACCTGCTGCTGCTCCTCCTCCCCTTACCTCTCCCTTACCTCCCCCTCCCCTTCCGCCTCCGTCGCCCCATCCTCCTCCTCCTCCTCCTCCTCCTCCTCCTCCTCTTCTCCTCCTCCTTTTCTCCTCCTCCTCTTCTCCTCCTCCTCCTCCTCCTCCTCCTCCTCCTCGTCCTCCTCCTCTCAATATTCCTCTTCCTCCTACTCCTTCTCCTTCTCCTGCTCCTCGGTGATTCCAATTTGACTCCGACTCCTGCTGGTATTTTTGCCGCCGCATGTTCCCACTCGCCCCGACTTCGCGCCCGACGTTGCAGAATCGGTCGCCTTAGCAGGGCACGACGCACGTCGCGCGCCAGAAGGCGAGCCGTCTCAACGCTGCGCAGATGGTTCCAGAAAATTGCCCTCCCGCTTGGGCGCAACGCATACTTTTCGGTCGCCGAATTGTCGGAAACGGAGCCGCGCGATGCTGCTCCCGCCTAATTGCAGCGCGGACATGTCATGGAAGCTCCCGCACGGAATCAGCGCGCGCTTGTCGCTCGACGCCGGCTCGGAGTCGGGGTCGTCGCGCGAGGGAGCTGAATTGTCACTCTCGCCCAGGCGCCGCGCAACTCTCTCATGGAAGCTCCCGCGCGGTATCAGCGCGCGCTTGTCGCTCGACGCCGGCTCGGAGTCGGGGCCGTCGCGCGAGGGAGGAGGAGGAGGAGGACGAGGAGGAGGAGGAGGAGGAGGAGGAGGAGGAGGAGGACGAGGAGGAGGAGGAGGACGAAGAGGAGGAGGATTGTCACTCTCGCCCAGGCGCCGCCAGGCCGACGTTCTCCCCGAACGCTTCGCCGCTCCCGCCCGCGCGAGCCCTCGGCGCACGCCAGTGCCCCGATGGGAGCAGCAGGGCCGCGCGCGAGTCTTCGAGATACGCAGCGGGGCACTTTTCGGATACCGCTGCACACAAGCTGGGCTGCCGCTTGGGCCCAGCAAGTCTTCGGCCGTTCCTGGTGCGCTTGCACCAAAGAGAAGCAGGGCCGCGCACGAGAATCCGAGATAAGCAGCGGGGCACTTTTCGGATACTGCTGCACACAAGCTGGGCTGCCGCTTGGCCCCAGCAAGTCTTCGGCCGTTCCTGGGGCGCTTGCACCAACGAGAAGCACGGGCGCGCACGAGAATCAGAGACCTGCAACGGGGCATGTGCCGGATACTACTGCGTGCAATCGGGATGCCGCTTGGGCCGAGCAAGTCTTCTGCCATTCCCAGTGCGCTTGCACCAAAGAGAAACACGGCCGCGCACTAGACTTCGGAATGCACGACGGGGCATGTGCCAGATACTATTGCGTGCAGTCGGGCTACCGCTTGGGCCCAGCAAGTCTTCCGCCGTTCCCAGTGCACTAGCACCGAAGACACGCAACACTGCAAACGCACGGCCCGTTTAGCTCGGGTGTCCGTTCACGGGGAAGTAGTAAACGTGGGGTGAAGGAAAGTGCACCTTTTGTGTACATTTTGGGCCCGCGATGGCAATTCAAAGACTGTCGAAAGTCTTTTCAGCGATATTTTCTCGCAATCCTCTATAGGCGGCGCGCCCGGGGGGAAATGAGAATGGGCGGGCCTTCTCAGAAGGCTCGGAAGATCTCGGAAGTCACCCGGCCTTCTGAGAAGTTTTCTAAGCCTTCCCCGAAGACACACAATACTTCTTAGAAGGCGCTAGTGTTTCTGAGAAGTCCCGCCGCCTTCTGAGAAGGCTTTCTCCTTCTCCTTACCCCCCCTCGTTCGCCGCCGACTCTACCCGCCCACGTTAATTGCCCCCCCCCCCACCCCCCCCCGTTGCAGTCCAGCCGATTAGCACGCGAAGCGACCTTTCCAATGAGCCCCATGCTCATCCCGCGTACGAGCCACTCAAGCCTCGTCCTGTCGCGTCCAGCGCCAGCTCCCGTGCGGTGACCGCTGGGGGCTGTCTTCGAATTGCAACTCACGCGCGCGAGAAGATTTAGAACTTAGGGCGCGGCGGCAATTCTGCCTCCCCTGCTCGAGCGATCGCGCCTCACGTCACGCCGCTTCGCTCGGTAGCTCGTGCGTGGAAAAGGCCAGGGCCCCAGTGAGTGGGCCCGGCCGCCGGTTCGCTCAACCTGTCTATTTGGCCTGCTGCGCCGGGCGCATGCGATAAGAGATCACTATGTAAGAAATCTTGGGGCATGTTCGTCGTTGGTCTCTGAGGGTCCCAGGGACCCACCGTCGTCCGCCGTCGCCGTCGCCGTCGCCGTCGCCGTCGCCGTCGCCGTCGCCGCCGCCGCCGCCGCCGCCGCCGCCGCCGCCGCCGCCGCCGCGTCGTCGTCGTCGTCGTCGTCGTCGTCGTCGTCGTCGTCGTCGTCGTCGTCGTCGTCGTCGTCGTCGTCGTCGTCGTCGTCGTCGTCGTCGTCGTCGTCGTCGTCGTCGTCGTCGTCGTCGTCGTCGTCGTCGTCGTCGTCGTCGTCGTCGTCGTCGTCGTCGTCCCCCCCCCCCCATCCCTTGTGGGTGGGGGGGGCCTGCTGGGCCGTGGGACCATCCCATCTGGGAGGGGCCCGCGGTGCAGCTTGTGGGTGGCAGGCTGTGCTCTGCACACGTCGTGTGCGCCCAGAAATGCCAGCCCGCGCTCGAGTGACTCGCCTCGGCGCCAACCTGGCGCCCACGGCCAGCTGGAGCCAAAATGGCTACAGACGGACGGATGCCTCTGTGTGTGTGTGTGCGTGTGTGCGTGCCCCTCGTCGGCTTCCCCCCCGTTCCCCTCCTCCCGCGTGCCCCCTCGCAAGTGTTGCCGTCCGTGTGGCCGCGACGCCAAACAGTGTGTGTGTGTGTGAGTGTGTGTGTGTATGTGCGTTGCGTGTGTGTGTGTGTGTGTGTGTGTGTGTGTGTGTGTGTGTGTGTATGTGTGTGTGTGTGTGTCTGTATGTGTGTTTGTGTGTCCGTGTGTGTGTGTGTGTGTGTGTCTGTCTGTGTCTGTGTGTGCGTGCGTGGGCGTGCGTGGGCGTGCGTGCGTGCGTGCGTGCGTGTGTTCTGCGTGCGTGTGGGTGGGTGTGCGTGTCTTGGGCGTACTATTGCGCCCCTCCTCCTCCTCCTCCTCCTCCTCCTATTCCTCCTCCTCTTCCTCCTCCTCTTCCTCCTCCTCCTCCTTCTCCTCCTCTTCTTCTTCCTCCTCCTCCTCCTCGTCCCTCTTTCTCCTTCGCCGTGTCCTCTGCTTCGTCCTCCTCTGTCTCTCAGGCACTCTCTGCCCTCTTTATCTTCCTCGCCGTGCAAGCTCACCTAGATGCTGCGCGATTCGCTGGCTTGGTCCTGAACTTGAGCTCAAACGCCAGGCCGTACGGACGTGCGGGGGGGCGGGAACAACGAGAGAACAAGCGGAAGAGGGGCTGACGGGGATTGGTCGGGGGGCGACTGGGGGGAGAGAGAGAGAGAGAGAGAGAGAGACGGGAGGACATGGCTGGAGGGACAGTGGGGAAACCAGAGGGTGCCAATACCGCTACTCCCCAGACCTCTACCGGGGTGCATTCTGACCAGGATTTCGAGGCGAATCCAGCGGTGGCGACGAGGGCCTCCGAGGAGGCCCCAAGAAGGGGAAAACGAGGAAAGGGTCGAGGTATGGGTACCTCGTTCTCCTCTGATTTGGGGCGGCGGCTGGTGTGGCTCTTCTCGTCCTGCTTCTCCCCGCTGCCACGCCGCGCTCTGCGGCCGCGAGGCGTGCGTGGAGCGGGCAGGCGTCGGACCCGCCGCTGCTGACGCCGCGAGCCCCAGCTCGGCGGCTTGTCTCCGAGAGGAGGGAGGAGGAGGAGGAGGAGGAGGAGGAGGAGGAGGAGGAGGAGGAGGAGGAGGAGGAGGAGGAAGGAGGAGGAGGAGGAGGAGGAGGGGGAGGGGGAGGGGGAGGGGGGGAGAGAGGAGGAGGAGGAGGGGAGGAGGAGGAGGAGGAGGAGGAGGAGGAGGAGGAGGAGGAGGAGGAGGGGGGGAGGAGGGGGGGAGGAGGAGGAGGAGGAGGGGGAGGAGGAGGAGGAGGGGGAGGAGGAGGGCACACCCCAAGACGGGCAGCGGCCTCTTGTTGGCGCCGTCGAGCTCCTTCAGGCGGCGGAGGATCCGCCCGCCGCCCACCACTTGTGGGGACGGCCGCCGGGGCAGGCCGCGGGGCGAGGGAGGGCCCCCCCCCGGGGACCCCAAGGACACAGGGCAGGCCAGCCACGACTGGGGGAGCTGTGGTCCTTACCTCCCCGGCTGCTTGCGAAGAGCTTGCATCAGTCTCTGTCCAGGATCGGCTGACAATGAGCCTCATGCGGACGCAGGCCGAAGGTAGGGTCACTTCACTCCCCGTGGTGAATGTCGAAGGTGAGGTAATTTCCCTCCTCGTGGTCATTCTGGTCCTCCCCCTGCTCGTGCTGGGTGGCGGTGCCCTGCTGGCTGGAAGGAGCCGTCGCCGCAAAATATCTGATGACCACCTCCTGTTTTTTCCTATGTCCTCGCAAATTTCATGTCGTGAGGGCCTCGGCCCTGCCGAGTACGCTGGCGCGCGCTGCCGTCGGATCGGTTGCGCAACGTCTGCGCCTCTCCTCTCTCGCCTCCCCCTCCGCTCCGCCGACCAGCCATGACTGGGAGAGCTGTGCTCCGCAAAACCCCTGGGGGCACGCATCGTGCCCACGACCTCTCGAGAGGGGCGCCGAAGCCGACGGGTCCCACCTGAAGCAAAGAGAGAGAGAGAGAGAGAGCGACCTGGCTGCCCCAGCCCGGCCGGAGTGCCCTGATAGCCAGCGAGGAGGGCGGCGGGGGAGAGGGAGGAGGCAGGGCAGGAGAAGGAGTGGAGAGCACGACATCTGAGCGACACGCTTCCACAACGCGAGAACCGTGGCCGTCCGAGCGAAGCCTGCGTGCGTGGCGTGGATACGCGGGAAGAAAGGAAGGGCTCGACCAACACAGTGTTCTTCGTTCTCGTTCCGGTTTCGTTTTCCCTCGCTTTGTCTTCAATCCGGCCCATGCAGTCGCGGTCCATGCAGTCGCCCAACCACCGTTTCGGTCGACCCCCGAAGCATGGCACCGAGGGAGCCGTCGGGCGGCCGTCAACGCCTCCGGGGGCCTCGGAATGCCTCGGTGCCTTTGGGGCGCCTTGGCTAGCCCTCTGGGCGCCTTGGCCAGCCCTTGGCTAGCGCCTTCGGGGACCGCGGGCGCCTTGGATAGCCCCCCTGGGCGCCTTCTTCGGGGGTCTAAGGCACCGTCGAGCGAACCCAAGGGCGCCTTCGGAAGCCCTGGGCGGCTTCGGACGCCCTCGGGCGCCCTCGGGACCTTCGGGGCCTCTGCGGGCCCTTGGGCGTCTTCGACGCCCTTGGCGGCCTCCAGCGCCGTGGGGGGTCATGCATGGGGGCGCCGTCAAGTGGCCTTCGAGGCGCCCCTGAGATCCAACGTTGCAAAAAATTGCAACATCACAAAAAACGCCCAGACCCCCGCACCCTATCTTTCTGCGTAATTTTTCGAACTGGATCGATCTGGGTCCCGGGGCCCGAAAACGCCAGGATCTCAGGGGGGCCCTCGGGCCCTTTGGAGCGCCCGGCGTTGTCGGGGGACCTCCCGCACCTTCGGGGACCTCGGGGACCTCCCGCACCTTCGGGGACCTCCAGCGCTGGCGACGAGGACCTCCCAGGAGGCCCCCAGAAGGGGGGAAAACAAGGGAAGGGCAGAGGTGTGGGCACCTCTTCCTCCTCTGAGTGTCGTTTACCCGATCCCCATCTCCAGCGGCGTGGCCTGGGCCCCGCTGGCCGATTAGGTGGGGATATGTGCCGTTCTCTTCGGGCTTCGAGGGGTGTGTCCCCAACTGGGGTGGTACTTCGGTGGGGGTCTCGAAGGGGATGGAGACGGGGATGGGAAATCGGTTGAACGATACCGATCCTCCGAACCTCGGGCGCCTCCTTGTCAGCGGGGCCGCCAGCGCGTTCGGCCGGGCCTCGCGCGGGGGCGCTTCAAAGGGTGCCTTCTCTCCGCGACACCCATCGGGGGCCGCCCCGTCGGGCGGCCCTCCCTTCGGCGCCCTCTCCGAGGCCCCTCGGGCGCCTCTGGAGGGGGGCCTCCTCGGCCCCCTCGGGCGCCCTCGGCGCGGCTCTCGGCGCAATTCCGGCATCCGTGGGTGCTCTCGGAGGGCTTCGGCGCGATCGGTGTCCTCGGGCGCCTCTCTGGGCAAAGAACTTTCCCGTGCGCGGCGGGCGAGCACGGTCGTGGGCGCTTCGCTGTCGGGGGCCACGGGGAGTCGGGTCGCGCATGCCGAACAGCACCCCGCAGCATCCCAGAAGAAGCCAGCCGATGGAAACGATTGCGCTTTCCAGGGGCACCGTGGACAGAGGGTGGTTATCGTTTGCTGCTGCATATGAGTGGGAGACTCGGAGAAGACGACGAGGGCGTCAATAATGATATCGGGCTCATCTCGCACGCTGCCGCATCTGGTCAGCGCCGTCGCTACCGCGACATTCGATACGCCATCTCCGCGTGAATTCAAACCTTTCGCCGCGCGCCTAGTCAAATCCCCAGCCCACCGACTCCAGCGCCCGAAACAATGTTGCTACTGCCGAGCTCTGAAAAGTGTGACGCCCGCCTCTGGGCTAGCGAGCGTTTCTTTATTCGGCGTATCGGCATTGGGTGGAAAGGGGGGGAGGGGGGGGGGTCTGGCTCGAGACTTCTGCTTAGTGCGACTGTTTGCAAGAGCGCTGCCTCTGGTGGAGACTTCTCCTGCTCGAAACAGGTGCTAAAAACAGCCAAGATTCACTCCATGGGGGGGGAGGGGGGGGGGATGCGAGGGCCCGCGCCGATCGGCAATACAATGAATAAAAAAACGACCACCTATCCACCCTCGTCGCCTCCTCCGAGAGGAGAGGGGGGGACCCGCGCGAAAGGGACGACGAGGCGCAGGCTGACAGCGGGGGTCCGGCGGAGCGAGGCACCGACCACAGCGGGATGCTCGGCGTCCTGGCGGGCCTGGCCTGCAGGGCGTGGAGGCTCGCGGAGATGACCGACCTCGGGCACGGCGCTCGGGGCGGGGTCGCGCCAACCAGGGCCCCCCCCCCTTCCTCTGGAAGTCGCTGCGCACCCGACCTCTGTGCGCGGGTAGTTTAGGGCGTCTCACCTCTCCGCCCCCCTGCCTTCCCCCTCGGGGAGGCGTTTCGTCACCTCCTCTGCAGCCTTCCCGGGGTTCGGAGGAGGGCGACGCGTTGGAGCGCCGCAGATGGCCCAAGGTGACCCCCACAGGGCCAAGGTAGCCTCCAAGATGGCATAATATGGCCCAAGACAGCCCCAAATGGCTTCGGAACCTCCCAAGGATGCTCCCTACAGGCCAAAATCAATGAAACACCAAAAGCGTGTTTCAAGCTGCTCTGCCTTTTCGCCTTTTCGCTCCCAACGGGCGCCTGAGGCCTCAAGATGGCTCCAACATCACCCACGAGAGCCCAAAGGGCCCAGGAGGGCTCCAACACGGCCCCCAGAGCTCAAAAAAACGCTCCAAGAGGGCTCCTAGAGGTTTGTTTTCTGCCCCCTCAGGTGGCGACGTGAATTGAGGACCTCCCTTTTCGCTCAATGCCATAACTACGGGAGCGGCCACCACGTGTTCTAATGATTTGGGCACACTGGGGGCATCCTTGGGAGGCTTTTGGGCCAAGATGCCCTCAAGCGCCTTAAGACAAGTTCCTAGATAGCGCAGTGTGGTCAAATATGGAGCGAGCTAGCTTCTAGCATGCCGCGAAGAGGCCCCAAGCTGATCCATGTGGCCACGGAACCAACCAAGGACGCCCCCGAGAGGTCCAAATCCTTCGAATCATACCTGCAATTCCATGTGGCTTGTTTTTTCGCCTTTCCGCTTCCGATGGGCCTTCTGAGGCCTCAAGATGGCCAAAATATCGCCCAAGAGAGCCCCAAGGGACCCCAAGGCTGGCCACAGGAGCGCCCAAGAGCTCTCCAAGAGCGTCCCAAGAGAGCTCTAAAACGCGACGCTTCGGCGTCCGACGGGGCGGGGGGCTGCTTAAGACTCCTCCCTGTGAGGTGTCTGTCCTCCGAGATGATGGCCCCAGGAGGGTCACCCACCGGGGGCCCCAAGCGCAGGATGCGAAGGGGTGGGAGCAGGAGGATGAGGAGGAGAGGAGGCGGAGGGAGGCCAAGGAGTACACTGTGTGTGTGTGTGTATATGTGTGGGGGGGGGCAGGGGGACGAAAAGCAGGAGGAGGAGGAGGATCAGCGGAGGAGCGACCCACCCCGCGCCCCGACTTCCTCGACCGCCGCCGACAGAAGCCCCCGCCCGCACCCCCCATCATAGGTGAAGCCCGGGCCCGTCCTGAGCTGCTCCGCCGCACGTGTCCGCGGGCTCTTCTCGCGCTCCGCCGCCTCCGCCCGGCGCGGCCAGAGGCAGACCACCTGGCGGCCAGTGGCCAGCGGGCTCCGCAGCGCGCGGCAGGCGCTCCGTTCGCAAAGAGAGCCCCCTCCGCCCCCTCGTCGTCGTCGTTGGCGTCGCCGTAGTCGTAGTCGTAGTCATCCTCCTTCGCCTCCTCATTGTCCTGCTCCCCCACCTCCTCTTCCTCCTTCCCCTTACATGACGCCCTGATTGGCACCGTTTGGACCGCGTACAGTACTGCACGCGGACCAGAGGGCTCGCAGACGCGCACGGTTTTCGTGCCGAGGGGACGCGCTACGGAACGTGCCAATGGACGTGCCACGGGACGTGCCAGGGGACGCGCCGCGCGACGTGCCAGGGGGATTCGCCACGGGACGCGTCACGGAACGTGCCAAACAAGCGTTTCGCTCGAGACATCCTCAACACACGAAAGAGTGGCCCGCACCCTGTGATTTATCGATCGGGATTTCAATAACAAGCGTTTCGCCTGAGACATCCTCAATTTCTAATCCGCCGGCCCACCTCGACCTCGATATTTATCAGGGAAAGAATCCGCCGGCCCACCTCAGTTGAGGCACCAAGGACAGGTTTACCAACTAAAAGAGAACCCTGGGCCGGCGCCCTTTCCGGGAAAAAAGGAATTGTGGACATTTGTTTTTTCAAATTGCCGCGCCTGGGCTGTGAGTCAGAAGTCTCCTGGATGCATGCCATGGTCTGTTGGGATGCCCCTCGGGGCCTTCTTGGCGGCGTCTCGGGAGATTTTTCTGGGCCTGTCTCCTGAGAGCCTCCCAGGAGTGTACGAAGGCCTCTGGGGGGGCGCCTCGAGAGCCTTTGGGAGAACCTTGGGGCCATCTTAGGGCAGAGCGCTCGAAAGGCTTGGGGAGGTCCCCTCTTGTGGCTCCCTCCTGGGGCGCGCGCTCAAGTTCTAGCCATGCTGGACAGGTTAGCTCATGGGATCTCGAGTTCTGGACGCACGAAGATGGCCCAAGAGAGTCCCAAGACAGCGTCAGAGAGTTCATCATAATTCCCGACAAATCTTCGAATTGTGACCCCGAAGTCTTGATGGGGCTCGGGGTGAAGTTCAACAAAACCTTCCCTTTTTCAAGTCGGGCCTCCTACTATGTAGTGTGCAGGAATCGGGGGGCCTAAGAGGCCTGCAGGGGGTTCCTCGGAGGCAGTTGTGAGGCCTCTCCGGGGCTGGTTTGGGGGCCTCGTGGGTTTTTTCCTTGGTCCTTTCAAGGGTCTGGGGTTTGTTGGGGGCCTCTGGGGGATCCCAGAAGCCTCTCGGGGGCCTCTTGGGGCCTCCTGCTCCCGCTCTCGGGCCCATCTTGGGCCTGTCCTGGGGCCCTCTTGGGCCGTCTTGGGCGCCCCTTGGGCAATCTTGAGCTATCTGGGGCCGTCTTGGGCGCTCGTTGGGGGCCTCTTCGGCCGTCTCGGGGCGGTCTCGGGGGCTTCTTCGGCCGTCCGGGAGCGTGGAAGCTTGAAAACGCGAGAGGGTCAAACACATCGAAAAAACAAAGGACAATGAAACGATGTTACCCTCTTCGGGCTCTCTCGGGACGGCTCTCGGAGCTCTCTTGGGCTAGCTTTCGTGCCTCGTGGGGCCTTTCTGGATGACTCTATGGGTCTGGGGCTTGTTGGGGGCATTCTGGGGGATCCTGAAGGTTTCTCGGGGGCCTCTCTGGGCCGCCCTGGGACCCATTCTGAGCGGTCCTGGGGCGCTTGGGCCGTCTTGGGCGCCTCCTGGCGCAGCCTTGAGGCTCTCTGGTGCCGTCTTGAGGCTCCCTTTGGGGGCCTCTTTGGGCCCCTCTTGGGCCTGTCCTGGGGCCCTCTCGAGCCGTCTTGGGCGCCTCCTGGCGCAGTCTCGAGGCTCGCTGGGGCCGTCTTGGGGCGCTCGTTGGGGGCCTCTTCGGCCGTCTCGGGGCGGTCTCGGAGCTTCTTCGGCCGTCCGGGAGCGTGGAAGCTCGGAAGCGCGAAAAACCAACACCCTTCGGGAAAACATGATCGACCCACGAACCCGGAAAGAAATATAGAACTGTAACACATGGCAGCGTTTTCAAAGACATCTGGTTGGGTGACGGGCAAATGCAATTCTGAAGGTATCGATCTTGATGTACCCTGCCGAGGGCTGTGCTGTGCTGCACCGTGCTGAATTGCGATGTGCCATGGCGCGATTTTGCTCTATAGCCTCGTGGATCGAGTCATCATGTGCATCCGAGTCCTGACCGAACTGATCTGGATCTGAAGCTCGAGCTGCCTGAACACATAGTAGCTGCCCCAGAGCTAATTGACAGGGGAACATGCAAGGAGGACACGCCGCGAAACGTCCAAAGGGATGCGCCAGGCGACGTGCCAGGGGACGTGCCATGGGGTCGCACCGCGGGACGTGCCAAAAGGACGCGCTACGGAACGGGCCAATGGATGTGCCACGGGATGTGCCAGGGGACGCGCTACGCGACGTGCCAGGGGGGCTCGCCACGGGACGCGCCACGGAACGTACCAAGGAACGTGCCAGGTTGCAATGCTGATTGTATCGATCTTGATGTACCCTGCCGAGGGCTGTGCTGTGCTGCACCGTGCTGAATTGCGATGTGCCATGGCGCGATTTTGCTCTATAGCCTCGTGGATCGAGTTCTCCTTTGCATCCGAGTCCTGACCGAACTGATCTGGATCTTAAGCTCGAGCTGCCTGAACACATAGTAGCTGCCCCAGAGCTAATTGACAAGGGGACATGCCAGGAGGTCGCGCCGCGGAACGTCTCAAGGGACGCGCCAAGCGACGTGCCAAGGGACGTGCCATGGGGTCGCACCGCGAGACGTGCCAAGGGGACGCGCTACGGAACGTGCTGGGGAAAAGCGTTTCGCTCGAGACATCCAGTCAAAATCCAAGGAAATCCTGGCAAAACAAACGAAGTAGTCAAGACATCCTCGAAATTCCTGCGCGCGGGACGCGGCACGCGCGAGACATCCTCGGAATTCCTGCGAGCGGGACGTGAAAACAAGCATTTTGCCTCAGACATCCTCTGAATTCTGGCCCCCTACGAGGCCCCCGCTCGAGACATCCCCCAAGTTTGCAAAACCAGTGTTTTGCTCGAGACATCCTCAACAAATTATGAACAGTTTGCAAAACCAGCGTTTCGCTCGAAACGTCTTCAACAAATTATGAAAGACAAGCATTTCGCTCGAGACATCCTGCCAAAATTCAAAGAAATCCCGCAACACTAACGAATTAGTCGAGACATCCTCGAAATTCATGCGCGCGGGACGCCGCACGCACGAAACATCATCGGAATTCCTGCGCGCGTGACGCTTTTCCGCGTCGCTGTCGGCTCTGCAAAACCAGCGTTTCGCTCGAGACATCCTCAACAAATTCTGAAAACAAGCGTTTCGCTCAAAACATCCCCAACTCTGCAAAACCAGCGTTTCGCTCGAGACATCCTCAACACATTCTGAAAAACAAGCGTTTCGCTAGGGACATCCTCAAACATTACACTACACACGCGCTCCCAGGGCCACGATCCCTCGTAAATTACGCTACGTCAGCGCTCCCAGGGCCACGATCCCTCGTAAGGGCTCCTGGGCCCTCCTGGGTCTTCCTTGGACCTCTTGGGCCCTCCTGGGCTCTCCTGGAGCCTCCTGGAGCTTCTCCTGGGCCCTCCTTGGGCCCCCTGGTGCCTCTTGGAGCCTCCTGGGTCCTCCTGGGCCCTCCTGGGCTCTCCTGGGCCCTCCTGGGCTCTCCTGGGCTCTCCTGGAGCCTCCTGGGCCCTCCTGGGCGAAGTCAAGGTCCGAAAACACATGGGACTTGCCACATTTCTGAAATTCGGTGCCACCCCTCACGCAGGTCGGCGGGGTCAGGATCCGAAAACACATGGGATTTGCCACATTTCTGGAATTCCGTGCCACCCCTCACGCAGATCGGCGGGGTCAGGGTCCAAAAACACAAGGGATTTGCCACATTTCTGGAATTCCGCGCCACCCCTCACGCAGATCGGCGGGGTCAGGGTCCAAAAACACAAGGGATTTGACACATTTCTGGTATTCCGTGCCACACCTCACGCAGATCGGCGGGGTCAGGGTCAAAAAACACAGGGGATTTCTGCGATTTCCGAACTTATGCAACTTCAAGAATCCAAAACTCCGTTCCCAGCGCCGTTCCGGAGGCCGCGGTACCTCGTTATTTATCGAGCGAACGCGTTTACCGTTTTTTATCGTTTAAAGTCGATGTCGGAAAAAAGTGGACTTCACCTGTGAAATATCGAGGTTTCCTTAAAGGCAATAAAATTCCAAGAGCACGATCTGCGTGAGGGGTGGCGAAAAATGGCCTTCGTCCTCACAATTGAAATCCGCCGGCCCCCTTCGACTTCGTAATTTATCCCACAAGAAATCCGCCTGCCCCCTTCAAGTAAAAACCGGGGGGTAAACCCACTAAAAGAGAACCCTGGGCCCAGGCCCTTTCCGGGAATCCGGGAAAACACTTAAACTCAGCGATGCTTATGTTTCTCAGCTCGACTGGGCGACGAATCACTGGAGAAGGTCCGAGATCTGCGTGCAGAACGCAACGCTGATGGGTCCAAGGTAGCGGCGATGGTTCTAACCACACAAGCTCGCTCCTGACCGCTACTGCTGCGTTGCGGAGCATACACGTGGCCTGGCAAAGAACTACGTGAAAACGTCCACCGTCTTCCAAAACATGATGGACCCACGAACCCGGAAAGGGATATAGACATGTGGAGCATGGACACGTTTTCATGATACCCAACTGGGCAACACCTCACGAAACATCCCACGAGACACCTCACGAAACATTCCACGAGACACCTCACGAAACATTTCACGAGACACCCCGCGAAACATTCCACGAGACACCCCACGAAACATTCCACGACGACAGGCAACCACTCAACCAAGGCGGTGTGGTCGTGCTGGGGAGTGGTCGTGCTGGGGTGTGGTCGTGCTGGGGGGTGGTCGTGCTGGGGTGTGGTCGTGCTGGGGGGTGGTCGTGCTGGGGGTGGTCGTGCTGGGGC